TTGCTGTGTCCAGGTTCCTGACCACCATCAATGTAAAGTAAACAGCCTTCTTATCTCAACACTGTCTCATCAACCTGATTCACTGTTGACCACTTATCACCATCAAAAATTGACTCCTTCTTTATTTAATGATAACATAATATAACCTGACCATTTATTGAGCAGTTTCACATGCCAGGCACTGTTCTAAGGGCTTTCCTCATAGCAACTCATTTAGTCCTGATAATGATCCATTTCACCCATTACAGACAAGGAAACCAAGACAGGACAAGTTAAGTAAGTACCTGAAGTGATGGAACTACTTGGTGGTAGAGCCAGGAATCGCCACAGGATTTGTTTCTTCTTTTTTGTTTGTTTATTTGTTTTTGTTTTGTTTTTCTGTCCTCCCATTAGGCTGTAAGCACCAAGGGAGAACGACCTTGCCGGTTTTGTTCACTGCTGTATGCTAGCACCCAGCCTGGCACATTGTAGGTGCTCAATAAGTAGCTGTTTCAACCGATGAATAAAAAAGATTTCATAGCCCTACCGCTGCTTCATCCCCTCCATTCTCTGGGATTGTGTATAGATGTTATGCAATCATCTATTAACTTGTACCACTTTGGTGATCACGTGATCTCAGCTGCAAAAGAGACTCCAGCTACTCAAGTTAAGGCTGTTGGAAGTATGAAAAAGTCTCCTTACCTGGGCTGCCATCGGGGTGTGGAGACAGAAGTGTCCTTCAGCCCAGCCAGGAGGTCTGCTAGCCTGGTGTAGGCAAATGCGCTCTGTTGCAGGCTCTGCAGGCGTCTGTTCTGGGACCAGTTTTTTTCCATTTACTATTGTTTCATGCTGGAAGCCAGCTCTCCTGAGCGATCTGTAGGAGGGCCCGTGGAGTCTTACACAAAAACTCTCCTAGTGGGTTGGGCTGGGTTCTGGAGGGAAGATCCTAGAGCAATGGCCAGGAAACGCCTTAATAGTACCACAGCCCTGGGTCCTCTCTGGCACTCTAGAGAGATGGAATATATGAGGGCTCTGAATTTTAAAAAAAGGAAAAAGCAAGATTGTCAAATATTAAAATACTTCCGCTAATAAGAACATTTAAAGTTTATGATTTAACCAAAGTGCATTATTATCCAAGGTTATTTGATCACTCTGTGTTGGCTTCTGGGTTGTAAACGCTCAGAGGTGGACCGGATTAGTGCTCCGCAGCTAAACATCAATCAGTGTGTCTCGCGTTCACACTCGGCAGCAGAGAGCCGAAGTCGGGGCTGCACGCGGAGGCTCCCAGAAGCCCCACCTGGAACTTTGCTCAGGTCCTTTCCGGAATCCCTGAGGGGCGACAGTGAGCTGGGAGGACTGGCGTCGCCAGTGCCCAGCACCTTGGCTGGTCAAGACGCAGGCAACTCTCTTGCTCTCTTCTGATACACCACTGGGTGCGACCCACATGTCAAGTTCCCCTCCCCCCACCCCATGTTCCCAAAGCCAAGGTCTGCGTACCTTCCTCTACGCGCTGGGCAGTGACCTTCGGTCCACTATAGAGGAGCGGGTGGTGGCTGGAGGGCGGGCAGAGTGTTGATGCCAAGAGGTGGGTCTGGCCTGGGAGCCGGGCACTTTCGCACTTGGCTCTACCAGGCTGCATCTGGGGTTCTGTCCCCACAGCTACAAGGCAGGGAAAGGCCTGTTGGAAAGTTTAAGCCTAAGCAGAAGGAAACTACCTAGCGTCTTCTCTGCGCTCCTCGGAGTTGTGCTGACACTGGGCACTCAGATTAATAGCACGCCGCTATTGCCTTCGAGGAGCGCCACGTCTGGTGGACTGCACCGCCTGCGACATGGCTCCGACTCGAGTCTGGGGAAGGGGGCGTGAGGAGGAGAGGGTGTGAGAGCGAGTGAGAGCATAGAAGAGCCTTAGCCCAGCCTGGGAATCAAAGAAGGCTCCGCAGAGGAGGTGAAGTCTTTAAAGAGACTTGAGGTTGGGCAGGAGGAGAGGGGAAGGCTCCATACAAAGGCCCCGAGCCAAAAGAGGAACGTGCATCAAGGACCTTACTGGGGCTCCTGGGACAGCGAGCAGGGGCAAGAAGTAGATAGGATCGTGACCTTCGAGGTTGTGACCTCCTCTTAACATCTTCCTATTGGAACCCTGTGGGTTCAGAATCTCCGTAGCTCAGCAGTACAGACGTTAGGCTTGGGCGAGCACTCTGAGTGCCTTGACACTGAGCACGTAAAGACGCGGGTGCTGACGCTGTCCACGAATTCTCCAGACAAGTGCAGCATTGGAAAGGCCGTATCCCAGGGACCTCCCAGCCCTGGAGGGTGGCCTGGTGTCCAAAAGCCCGCACTTCGGGCTGTTGATTTAGTAGGAGACGCACGTAGGCGACTTCTGTCCTAAGGCTTGTTCCAGCCTTGACCAAAACTGCTGCTTCTCCCCAGGGGTCTCCTCTCCGGGATGCCCGCCTCAATGCCTAAGCTTGTTGCGGAGGCAGAGCTCAGAGGGACCGCAACGCAAAAGAAGATAGAGGCCTGGGCTGGAGACAGCACCAGGTCAGACCCAGGGATCAAGAGAACCCCTGTGTGGGGCCCAACTCTAAGGAGTCCTGAATAAACCCGTGGCCAATCAGCACTGTGTAAGGGGTGTATGTGGCTGCGATGTTCGCCTAGGAAACGCCTAGCAGCTAAATTCAAGTCTCAAAGCCAAGAAGTGCAGGGGGATCTGACCCAGGCACCCTGGGGCTCCAGAACCCTAGGAGTTCAGGCAGTGCCCGTTCAAAAACTGCCACCGCACCATTTCAAGCCCTTGATACTAATCTACTCCAGAGCTTGGATTGAGAACTAGGGCTGAGCATGAGATGTTTGGAGTGAAGCCCCCGCAATAGGAAGAGGAAGAACTGGGGGACTGAAGGAGCGCACACCTGCTCGAGCTGCCTCAGAGCAATCAGAATGAGTTGGCCTGGAAGCTGAGAAGAGACAAAGGGTCTATGACTCTGTGCCAGATCCCCTCCTTGAGCAGTTCCAAGAGGTTGGTTTGCATTAACCCAAACCTCTGTGTGTGGGCTTAGTGTCCCCAGAAGGTTCTGGTGTGAGAGTTTAGTGGATCCTCGCCAGATGCTGGACCTCTCTGCAGATAGGTCATTCCTTCCCCAAACCAAGGAGATCTCCAAGCTCTGAAAGCAGGGCTCAGTCTGCAAACTAGTTCAACCTCAGTAAGGGGTGTCTGTGATTCCTGGAAACCCTCCCGGGACTGGGCTGAAAAGTGCATCTAAATCAAACCTGCAGAAAAAAACAAGGATATAGATCAGGATGGAGGTTAGGGCTGGGGCTGAGAGCAAGGTAAAGACCGTGCACCTATTCAGGAGCCCATGCCCAGGTGTGCAGTCAAGGTGGCCAGGGTCTGACCAGAGCCTAAGTGAATCAAGAGCTGGCATGACAATTATCCTTCCAGTGCGGTTTATCTGTGTGGCTGATTTCATGGCTCCAATGGTCTCGCTGAGAGTCCCGCGTTTGACTGCAGCACCAGCAAATCCAAAGTGACACCGTGTAGGGTAGGAAAAAATTAGGGTTTTCAAATCCTGCACACCCGGTGTCACCACTTCCCACTGGAGTCACTTTCTGCAAATCACTTCGATTTTTAACCTCAGTTTCCTAATCTGTAAAATGGGCATAGTGTCCACCTCTCTGAAGAGCACACTGAGATGAGAAATACCACGCATCTTTCTGACCATGGAAAGAAGAGCAAAGTCTTCGCCTCCAACTTGATGCGCTACATATTAAAGAAAGACCCTCTCTCCCTTCCTCTTCTTTCTCTGCCTGGTTCTCCCCCACCCCCGACCCCTCCAAGCCTGCGGAGCGGTGCACGTTCTGGTTGGTCCTCCCGAGAGAGGCTAGTGTAAAAGCCAATAAGCCTGGAACACACGCAGGTCCTGCTGGGCCTGGGACAATGGTTTCCATTTAATAAATATTTCCCCCAAGGGCATTTCACGTTGGGCAGGCAATTATTCAAAGGAAACAGGCGCGCAGGTCTGCTCTGCGGGTTATTTCGTCCTCTTTACCCGAAAATGCTCATCTGACGCAAGAAACGAGTCTCACATTCTCGCTTCTTGGGCAGAGGCACCCAGGGACAAACCTAGAGACTCCGCTTCAGGGACGCTGCAGAAGGGGCAACGGGAAAGCCCCACACTGCGCTGGGCGCCTGCCGGCTTCCATGCTGCCTTTCCGGTGCGGGCAGGTGTGGAGAGCAAGTTAAAGATTTAAATAAACACTAAATAATAATAACATAAATAGGAATCGTAATGGAAATCCCATTCCTGCCCCCTCCCAGAAAGTGAAGAGCAGATCGTGTTGCTCCACAAGGCTCACCACCCAGGGTTTGTAACCTCTGCACTGCGGGACTGGAGGCCTTCCGGCAAGGTCTGGGAACGCACCGCCGCATCCCGGGGCAGGGGTGGAGGCGGCCCGCAGGGGCATCCCGTGAAAACACAGCCCAAGGACTGCCGAGGATAAGGCGCGAAAAGTTTATATCGCTTTTAACCCGAGTTTGATATATTCTTTTTCTCTTCCAAGGATCTTTGACAAGGGGGGTAAAGTGCTGTCCTTGCATTTCGTGACGAGGCTGTCCTATTTATCAACCTGCGCTCTCGGCTGAATCCCTTTGCTGTCCCTCCCCGGGTCTTTGTATTCGAAGCCTTAATTCTCCTTTGCACACCGGAAAGGAAACAGATACGAAGAGTTTTATTTGTTGACAGTGCCAGAAACAATGTGGAATCCAAGTCCCCAGTCCTGAGCTGGTCCCTGTCTTCTCCTCCCCACCTCAGTCTCTCCCTCGCACCTCTCCCCGCCCCCACCAGTCGCGCTCCCTCCGGCCTCCGCTGGCGCGCTGGCAGGTGCGCCCCCTCGCCTTCTCCGCTGCTGATTGGAGCCCAGGTTGGGGAGTCACCGCCCCGCGCTTATGTCAGAGTGCGTGTGGTCCGGCCCACCTCGCCTTTGAACTTCGCCGCTTTTGGCTCTCGTTCACCATCCTCCCTGCATTCTCAGCCAGGTGCTGCGCTAGGCAAGGCAGCTCCGGGAAAGCCACAGGAGGGGGGAGGGAGCCACGGCCTTAGACACAGGAGAGAAGAGAACCAGAGAAGGCGAAGGTGGAGAACGGGAGAAAGGAGCTTCCCGCCTTCTCCAACAAATTACCTGGCCACTTAATCCCAGAGACTCTGGTACTTGGGCCCCAGCTAGAGTCGGCAGCACCCCAGCCAGCCACCCTCTCCTCCCCCGCCCTTCCTACCCCCGCTTGCCCCTCGGGGCCTGCCTGAGTGCGGAGACTGGCATGATCAGCTGAACTTTGCGGGGTTAGCGCTTCTCTCTGGCATCCCCTCAGCGGTGCGGAGGCGAGGGGAGCGCAGAGTCCCGGCCCAGGACCGACAGACAGGCAGACAGACAACCTCGCCCAGCTCGCTGGCAGAACCCCTGCACTCCCCACCCCCACCTGCCTAGCCTCCGGGATCATGTCTAAACCATCAGACCACATCAAACGACCCATGAATGCCTTCATGGTATGGTCCCGAGGCCAGCGGCGCAAAATGGCCCAGGAAAACCCCAAGATGCACAACTCAGAGATCAGCAAACGCCTAGGCGCCGAATGGAAGCTTCTGTCCGAAGCAGAGAAGCGGCCGTACATCGACGAAGCCAAGAGGCTACGCGCCCAGCACATGAAGGAGCATCCCGACTACAAGTACCGGCCACGTCGCAAGCCCAAGAACCTACTCAAGAAGGACAGGTATGTCTTCCCCCTGCCCTACCTGGGCGACACGGACCCGCTCAAGGCAGCCGGCCTGCCAGTGGGGGCCTCCGACGGCCTCCTGAGCGCGCCCGAGAAAGCCCGGGCCTTCTTGCCGCCTGCCTCGGCGCCCTACTCCCTGCTGGACCCCGCGCAGTTTAGCTCGAGCGCCATCCAGAAGATGGGTGAAGTGCCCCACACCTTGGCCACCGGCGCGCTGCCCTACGCCTCCACCCTGGGCTACCAGAACGGCGCCTTCGGCAGCCTCAGCTGCCCCAGCCAGCACACGCACACGCACCCGTCCCCCACCAACCCGGGCTACGTGGTGCCCTGTAACTGTACCGCCTGGTCTGCCTCCACCCTGCAGCCCCCTGTCGCCTACATCCTCTTCCCGGGCATGACCAAGACTGGCATAGACCCTTATTCGTCAGCCCACGCCACAGCCATGTAACCCCCAACCCGGCCAGACCTGGAGGGTGGCCTGGAATCGGGGTTTGCACCCTGTCCTCTGCGCCTAGCCCGGGCCTGGAGATGCCTCGGGGCCAGCCCTGCCAGCGGCCGCTACCCTACCCCAGATAGGGGCGTCCTACCCGACCCAAGACGCAGACAGGTGCCAGAAACTTTCGAACACTATGACCGATATACAGTTGCCCCTCCCCAACTGTCCCAAATCAAATCTCCATCTGTACCCCCTTTGGACAAAAAAGGAGGCAGTTTGCTTTATTTATGTCCTCTTCTCTTTCCTCTGATGGGCTTTGGACTCCAGAACTCTCAGATCCCAGTATTATATCTAGAATACGCATTTTTTTTTTCTTTTGCACCCTGAAGAAAAGAGTTAGCTCTGTGTTTTGCCATCAGACACAACTAGGTGCCATTTGCTCTTCATGTGTGGGAAAAGGCTTAAAAGTTTAAAACTACAGAAGGAAAACATTTCAATTTAAAATCATGCTATGATAGTGTTTGCTTCTTTAAAGGTAATACAAAGGACCCACATGGTTATTTACTTTGTATAAAGCAGTGCTCCTAGAGACCTAAGTTTACTTTTAGACAGAATGTCGGGTTATGAAGTCAGGAAGTAGAAAGTGAACAAAATTTAAAAAAAAATAAAAACATCCTAAACGATCGTAAATGTTTTGACGATGTCTTGGAAATGTACCTAGAAGGATTTCATCTCTTTATTCTGTTCATTTGTTGAACAAAGACGTTTTGAATAAAGACAATCTGTCATTGCAAAAAGTAACCTTTGATGTGCATAAACTCTGAAGTCAGGAGGCAAGGTCTGGGCTGGGAGTTGGGTCACTGGGAGGCTGAGAGCGCACAGAACAACTTTAGCAGTGGCAGCTGGCGGCTGGCCTGCATTGGCCAATCGTGGTAGCCTTCAGGCCAGGTGCAAAGGGAGCTAGAGTCTGTAATTTGCCCGGATCATATCCTCTGGATCCGCTTTTTGCCTTTAGAGGCTGGACAAAGGTATTGGTCCCTGGGACCTCACTCCTTCCCTGTGTTCTTCACAAAGTGGTCAAACCACTTCAGGGAGCGAATGAGCTAAGACAAAGGCCAACCCAGACCTCTGAAATCTGGGTGCATTTTCCTTTTTTAAACCCAACTCCAAAGGAATGGAGAGAAGCGCGACTCTACCGGGAAACCAGTTGCGCAGGAGCATCGCGTCATGCGGTGGGTGTTTAAGTTCAATGATTAGGGGAAGACCGGTGGAAACGATTTTTTTGAAAGGTGTTTGAAAATGCTGCTGCTGGCTCTTGTGGGGATTTGGGACTCAATACTGGTTCCTAAGTTAAAAATTAAAACTCTAAGAAACGCAGTAGGAGACTTTTTGCTAAGACCCTGCGGGGGCAAAGGGGAAAAGGAAGGCCTTAGTGACACGCTCAAAATCATAAAAATCGTAACTCGTATCCCTCGAAGTTTAACAAATAAGGAAAAGAACCTCTTTCTTTCCCCACTGGGTGAATGTTAGCTTGAACATTGCTGTTTTTCGTGGGAGGAAGAACCTTCTGATGCCTTCAGCACAACTCTTTGGAACTTGTTCTCCAAATCAAAGGGTGCTCCCCTCAGCCCTCGTGTTCCCCCAGTCTCATCCGTTGCTCACGCGGGTTTTCCTATAGGTCCGGTGCTTTTCCCACTGGCTTTGATATGGTGCGGAAGGGGCGGGGGGGGGGGCATCCTAGTGGCGCGTCTGCTTTCTGCTGCTGCTGAGGGATTTGTGCGCTTGCCTCTGCCGTTTCCAAAGGAGCCAGTGGCTGGAAGTGCACGGGAAACGTTGTCAACAGACTCTAAAGCCAAAACCCATGGATTAGCATATTGTCCTCAAAACAATTAGAAGTGTTTGAGGTGTTATTTGGAGCCTATTCATCCGAGCCCCTTTGTCAAAGGGGGATTTTCATTATTTAAAAAAAAAAAAGAAAGTTAGCAGTTGTCCATCTGGCTGAGCTGAATAGCAAAGTGATCCGTGTTGTATATGCTTTTCTCATTAAGAGCTCTTTTGAGACCGATGTTAGAATTAAATGGTATAACACAATTAACATACACGGGCGCTGAATAAGAGGGGACGCCTATAAATAATAGATAGATAAATAAATGAGCGATCAGGAGAAGGTAAACAAAGGCGGGCTGGGGAAAGGGGGTGGGGGGTTGGGGGCGGCCGGGCGGGCTGAGCCACGCTTACTTAGCATTACAAAACCCTCTTACAAATCGAGACAATTAGGAAGTGACTTGCCTCTGGTGGCAGTCCCGTCTGGGGGCTCTGGGAGCTTAGGGAAGGCTCCTCCTCCGGCTCTCTAGAAGCCCAGGAGGCCTAGGGCGGAGGCGCCGCGGTTTTGCTGTCTGATATAACCCCAACTGACAGTGCTGTCAGCCGCTCTGAGCTCCCTCATAGCTCAGTGTCCCTTAACATCTCCTGAGATGAAGCTTACAGGGGTCTTGGTGTCTCCCTGCGGAGGCCGGCGCTCCAGCGCCCGGGAAGCACAGAGTGCTCCAGCCCGGGAGGAACCCCGAGCGCTCGGCTCCACCAGGGCACCCAGGCGACTGCGAGGCAGGCTTAGGGGCACCAGGTGTGTCCTACTGGGGAAGGCTTTGGGCAGCGGCGGAAGCTGAAAAACTGAAACGAGGGTTCTAGCTTGTGCCTGGCCCTGGGAACTCGGAAGAGAGTTCTAGGAAACTGGGGTGCACTGTAGCAAGGAGGCGTCGTGCGCCCACGGCTGGGCATCTGAGACTTCTTTCCAGCCAACAGAGAGCAGGAGACCCAGCAAAGGTCCCGAGACCTAACGCCGCGGACCTGGCTTGGGCCGTTTCTGTCTAGCTCACCTCGTCTTCTTCCATCCCAATCGGGCTTTGTCCGGCTGTCTGCCCTCGTTAGGCCTGGCCCCCGCCTCGGCCCCTAAGGGCCTGCCTCAGCCTAGCCTCCTGCTCCCCGGGGCCGCAGAGCCCCTGCCGACGTGCGCGGCCGAGACTCGCCCTAACAAACAGCCCAAATCCTGCCCGTCAAGCCGATGACAGGGGCCTATTACTGACTTTGAAGTCAGGCGCAGACAAAAAGAAATCCCCTGGGGTGTGTGTGTGGAGGGGGGGGGGGGGAGCAGTCCCTGTCAAACCTGTTTGCTCACAACTGTCTCTTTCTTTCAAGAAAATCATTAAAGCAAACCTATAGGGAGAGGAGCGCCCCGCCCGCCTGGAGTCGAGGAGAACCGCTTCTCCCCAGCGCGCGCCGCGCCGCCCAGAGCAGCCAAGAGTGCCCTTCGACAGACGTGGCGTGGTCGGGAGAACGCGAACTCCCGCTCCACGCGGGGCGCCGGGGACCCTGCAGGAGGCGCTTCTGTCTACACCTCTGCCCTTTTCGCGCGTCCCGCAGCCAGAGGTCCCGGACTTCTGCCTGCAGCCTGGGTCTCCCTGGAGCAGGGGCTGCTTGAAGGGCCCGGGCCTCTCGCCTACCGGGACAAAAAAAATTTACCTAAATACGTGCCGCATTTGTCCCCGACTCTCCTTTCCTGAGTACTTTAGGACCACCGAGACCTAACCAACACGCTGCTCGGGGTGGCAGCGGGCGGCGCTGGCGCGGCAGGGGCAGAGTTGTTTGGGTTTTAGGTTTTCTTTCTTAAACCTTGGCAACCATTGGCTCAGGGGCACACTGGTCACATCTGGGAGATGCGGAATCCTTAACTCCCCCCCCCCCCCAGACCTTTCATTGAGGGCCTCTGCAGCCTTTCATGCGCTTCCCCAAAAACCTTTGATTTCCTTCCAGTTTCCGGGTTTTCCCATTTAAATATCAATGTTCTTAGAACCACTAACTTAAAACTTAGACTAAATTATACTGAGGTGTGAGTGACTGACATCTGAGACCATTAACATTTGCATTTTAAAACAGAATCTAGATAACCTCCAGAAATCTCTGGTCATCTAAATCAGGGTGGTATTTCAGTCAGGGTAGACCCTTGGGGACTTGGGTTACGTCGCACCCTCTAGGGACGCTTCTCCCGCGCGGGCAGCTTCTCTGGAGATCTAAGACTGCCAGGACCTGGAAAACTTGGCAAGCGATGGTGCCAGCACTGCCCTGGAGGACTCTCAATTCCTTCCGCTCCTCCCCAGTTCAGGCCTTGTTACCATTGTTCAAGCGGACAATGAATTTCAAATCATTTGAATTTGAATATCACGTAATTCACAAAATTCCTGTTAAGAATTTCATCTCTTTATTTGCTGAGTGGATTGTGTGTGTGTGTGTGTGTGTGTGTGTGTGTGTGTACGAGTGTGAGAGAGGAAGAAAGACATAGGCAGAAGGGGCACATTAGGTTTGAGTGCAGGAGATGCCAAGGCTTTTTGCCTCTCCAGATGGGCGCACCCTCCTAGCCTCTGTCCTCGGAGACCCTCGCAGAACCGGCTTTGAGAGTTCTACTTAGGCTGGTTTCTTTCTTGGCGCTATGGGATAAGCCTTGTCCTGTAACAAGACGAGTTGGCACTGGGCCGCTACAGAGTAATTAAGAAAATAATGAAAATGACGGTGAATGGGGACCACTGGAAATCCTGGGGTGTCGACATTACTGGAGACTCGAGGTCGCCCTGCCTAACCCTGGCTGTGCGCGCCTGGGGCCCACAGCTTGTTAATGTCTGCCCTGGTACTGGGCAGGGGGCTGATGGTGAAAAGAGAGAGCCTTGACACCCCCTTCTCGCCGCCCCCCCCCCCAGCTCTTCGTCCCGCTAACAGTCACCCGCGGACTCCTGGCCAGTCCCCGGGGCCAGGTTGTGGGAACCAAGCTTTCCGAAAGCAGGAAGGGCCTTGGCCCAGGACATTCTTGGGCGGCTCCCACAGATTCTCCACCCTCCTCTCTCAGATCCCCGCTCCGAGTATCCCCTCAGACCCCCAAAAGGCCCCAAGTTTGGTCGGATTTGGGGAAGAGAGCGGGTGCCCAGGAAGGACAGAGAGCGAAAGGAGTCTGAAAGTTTTCTCTTTCCTACAAAGTGAAAAAGTTGCGCTACTCCGATGGCCAGT